GAGTTCCCAGCCGGTGCAGTAGATGATTGCGTCTGTGGATAACTTGTCGCCGTTTGAGAGAGTGATCGATTTCCCGACTGCGGAGATCATGTTCTCTCTGGTGACATTGACGAGGTGTCCTTCGTCTACTAGTTTGAACGTCTCGAGATCTCTTCCGTGGAGCATTGTACCTCCTGGAACGAACCAAAAGAGGCTGTGCAGAGAGTCAGCATGAATTCCAACTTGGAAAGCATAATGGATGGGTTATGTGGAAGTGCACTCACGTTTCTGGAACCGGCTCGAGCTTCCGCCCATTCTCACTTCTGTGGTATCGATTCTTCTTGGTAATGGCATCTTTCTTCACTTGCGTCGTCATGAACCTCCAGAACCAGTTCAAAAACCAGGTTCCGAACCAATACTTGCCACTGTGAAAGAATCGGTTCACCCAACGATCTGAATGATAAACACTGCTTGATAGGAAACCCATGAATCGCTTCGTCGACAATTTGGCCAACGAGGAACCGTCTGGATTTCTGGCTGGCATCATCCACGTTGGACCGCCTCCTTCTTTCCTGATGAGCCATTCGACCTTCTTCCCAGCTTGGGCAAAAGCTCCAACAGCTTCCAGCGCGGACTTGTGTCCACCGACGACTGTCACATGTTTGATCTCAGGAGCGAGAACCTCGTGCTGGCGTTGACCTACTTCAACAGCGTGGAATGAGATGCCTTCAAATTTACTCAGGTCCCAAGGCGTTGGCTTTGGTTTGGAGGTGATGCCAGTTGATATGATGAGTTTGGTGCAGGTAATTTCTTCGACAATCTCTCTTGATGATACAGTCCGGCGAGTGACCACCTTCCAGCCAGATTCATTCCTTTCAACTGCTACTGCCTGGGTATTGAATTGGCATAGCTTGGGGATATCGTATTTCTGAGCATATCGATTCTGTTCGAAGTTTAGATAACCCTTTTAATGACTGACGGCGGCACTTACCAGAAACTCATTGATCTGATATCCAGTGACATCTCCCCAAGGCTCAACGCCCAGCTCCTTCTCCATGTCAAAATCCGTAAAGTTCGCCATGGGACATGGCATTTCATAGATGAGACCAGGATAGATTCGCTCGGCTGACCAAACCCCTCCAATTGAACTACCTCCATCGATGATCAGGATATCAACAGAAGGGTTGATTTGGAGATAAGTCTTTGCAGCTACAATGCCATTGTGGCCTGCACCCACGATAACTACATCATGGTGTAAAGAGGATTTGGATGGAGCCATTGAGAGGAGCTAGATTCCTATAGATAAGCATGAAAGGGGAACCGAGTAGACATAAAATTTTAGATGATGGGTAGGACACAACTTTATCAAGATCTCAATCAGGAGCTACGCCTCAATGGCTTCACGGATACTTCCCGGACCCTTTTGCAGATGTTTGTGCTCACATCAGACCTGTGCAGCCAATGGAATACCGGCAAAACGGGAAACTGATCTTTGATAGGTTATTTGTCCGAGTGCAAATCGTAAGAGCAAGCCTAGCACTTGCTAGCAGCATGATTGTTGACGTAAACGGCCTGATCTTGTATGCAGGATATCATCACTGCGGTTAAGCTCCATCTGACCTGATGGGAAAGCACGGGAAGGGCAAGGCAAGGCTAGGAACTGAATGCAAGAATTGAAAGAGAAGATACACTTTTCGAATAAATAGAGACTGAAACATAAAAGATGAACAAAAGACTGAAGATGTTTGTCTATCCTATAGTTGTGACGTTTGCGCATTGTTAATTTGTTAGTGTTGAGGGATGAATGAGGCTGAGAGACTTTGTCGTCGCGAAAAGCTCCCTGCAGCTCCTCAAACATTTCGAACCTCGAAACCCCACCAACTCCATCCACGCCGTTCACCTCGACAACAAACAACTCCTTCCTCCCTCAATCCAACACCGCAATCATGGCAGATACCGAGATGGACGTCGACGCACCGCTCTCCCCAGACCTAAAGCAAGATACCAAGAATGCGTCAATGGCCACCCATACGAACGCGACCGCCGTCCGCTCCATCGAAGGCTGGATCATCATCGTCACCAACGTCCACGAAGAGGCCAGCGAGGAGGATCTGAACGATTTGTTCGCCGAGTTTGGAGAGATCAAGAACCTACACTTGAACCTGGATCGCAGAACGGGTTATGTCAAGGTGCGCAGCGCATACTCTCTCCACAAGGCTAAGGAGGGAACTGGCTAACAAAGCATCGGAATAGGGATACGCGCTGATCGAATACCCAACCCTGGACGAGGCACGCAAGGCGATTGATGGTGCGCACAATACAAAGCTGTTGGATCAGACGATCGAGGTTGATTTCGCCTTCGTACGACCACCACCAGGCAAGGGCAGAGGAGGACGACCACCTGCGAAGGGAAGAGCGAGAAGCCGGAGTCGTAGCCCGGGTGCTAGGGATGAGGTTGTTGAGTGAAGGGGTGGTGAAGGGATGGTGGAGATACCTGCATTTCCAAAAGCTACAGCGTCTGCTTGGCCGATGTGTCCGATTTAGAGGCATGTCGGCGTGTGAGAGATGGCCTCAATGGTATGTTTGCTTGGTAGATGGGATATCCGGGGTTTAGACTGACAGTTCTGCAGAGCCTCAATATCAAAATCGATTCCCAATCTGTATGGAAACATTTGACGATCTGTGAAGATGTGCGAGGGGGAGTTACACCAGGGAAGTTGAATGCATACCTTGATTAAGTGCTCACCGTCACTACATCATTCTAGAATCTGGAATAGGCACACAAACACTTTCATGAGGGGAACGAGATCCTGTTGGATACAGCCGTACAGCAGACACTGATGAAAAGCTTCGGATTCATTGGTGTATGATCTTCTTGTGTGTGCTTTCTATAATACAAAAATTCTGACAGGTGGATGCTCCCTGGGATTCTAATTCCCCTTCTAATACCACTAGGAGACTGTACTATCACAAACATGCTTTGAAAACGCAGCTCGGAGAGTCACATCAACTGCGCAATCCCCGTCGAGAAACTCGTCTCCTCCGAGGTGTGACTAGATAACGCTCTTTGACCAGGGCTGACCATCCTCTGAAAGTCTTAATGGCTTCCCCGGAAGTGAACAAGTCCAGCATCATCTCATTCCCATCGAAGGTGAGATCTGTTAGATCTGTGAACACCCACCAACGATCCTCAAGTAAGCATCTCGCCATCCTCGTAGCCCGCCCCATCTGCATACACTATAACTCCATCGAAGCGATCCATGGGTAGAAGTATCTTTCGTAGTGCTCAAACACATCCACCTGATGAATGCCTAATGTCATGCGTTTGATATGCGAAGATCCATCAGCAAAAACCGGTTTTCCATCGAGCCAAACCTCAGATCTCGAGGCCTTGCCAATTTGTTCGAATACGACCCATGCTGGTCTCCAATCTTCACTTGAACATTTTGGTCTTGCCTTGTCATAGTCGAAGTTGGCTTTTGTCCGGCGGTGCTCCATAGCGTCATTCAAGACAACCTTTCGTTGGAGATGTGACAATCGTGTCGATCCTTCAATATATCCAGGACCTCTTGATGATCTCTCTCGGCGTTGCGTGACAGAGGACGTGCTCGTACATCATCTCCCAATACCGCTCCCAACGACCCATTCCACAGTCTACCATTAACAAACAGAATCAACTCCTTCAACGCAGGAAGCTTCTCCATCTCCTCCAAATCCGCCTTGAATATCTCATCTCATTCGTCTGTTTCCCAACGCCCACCCACACAATACGGATCTTCAACACGAGTTGAAGATAAGATCTGACTGTTGGAACATGCCTCATCCATCTTCCGGGACAGATGTTCGTGATCTCGAAGGCGTTCTGCTCCCAGAAAGCCCTCGGCGGAAAGCCAACTCCTGCTGAACGGTGTCAGTTTAGGTCCAATCTGCCACTGGAAGTGAACTCCTACCTGAGACCAAGATTGTCCTCCTCGGAAACACCTTGTCTTTGCTTCCCTTCAGCTGCTCCCCTACCTGTGCTTGAAGTCCTGCAGGAACAAGACTTGTCCAGCTTCCCAATTGTCAATTGTACAGTACAAGCTATGTCGCACACTGTCCTGAGAGGTTTGGTTGTCAAGGAGGCTGTTTAAAAGTTAGAGGCGAGACGCGTTGTTGAGATAGCTCCAGGTTTCGATTAGCGTAGAGGGCAGGGATTTTTGTGACTTTGCATCATGTCATATTCTGCCCGGTGACTCTGACTCTGCAGATGATGGTTTGTTTGGCATGTTTGCTCTAAGTCCAGTGCAGTCAGTGTAGATTACATGACGCCCATATACTGCAGAAGTATGAGGCGAGAAGGTAGGATCTGAGAAATGGACGGAGACATGTTGGACAGCTTTGTCCACTTTGTAGATATATATATCATAGACGTTGTCAAACTTCTGCCATGAACTTTCGATATAAAACAGATGTAACTCGGGGATCTGACATTGTCGGTTAATCTAAGGCTTTCGTGCCTGTGAGCCCTCCTCAAGAGCGGCAGCGCCGTCTTTGCCTACCTTTTTGTTCTCTTTAGACGCACTTGGTTCTTTTAGAATTCTCCACCACGTATTAACAGACACTTCTCATTTGATGCTTCGTAAAAGCCTCGGAATAAATATTTCTGCGGTACAGGTAATCTTCATGCCCAATTGATCATCAATTGATATGCGCCAATTCTCCTTTAATTCTTGAAATGCCTCGTCCGCATTTGTACTGCTATGATGCCATTGTATTTTCACAATGACTCTGTATTGATATAATGCCCTGGTACGAGCACCGAAGAATGTTGTTGTTGTCAATGTGGTAGTCTTTTGACCGATTTTTCAAGATAATCCTCCTCCCTTCCAAAAACAACCACCTAGGGCACTTTTTCTGTAGGTAGTTCAGCAACAGAATAAGCGGAACGATGTCATTGGTTGAGCTGTGCATGTCAGACTCGGAATTTTTTAATTCAGCTATATAGTCAAATAGCGAGTTGCCAGCCAATCAGTCTTCGAATGGGTGACGTGGCCGAGCGGTTATGGCGCTAGTTTCAGGAACTTCTCATCCCTTTCCCTAGGGTGATAAGAATCAATCAATACTAGTTCGAAAGAGCATGGGTTCGAATCCCATCGTCATCAGAAGATGATTACTTTTTTGAAGTTTTGAATTCCGTCTTCAAAAAGTGTCAGAAATGAAGCTTTTTGTATTAACAATTCCTTTTTTTTCCCTACTTCTTTTTATTTTTTATTTTTCACTTTTCACTTTTCACTTTTCACTTTTCACTTTTCACTTTTCACTTTTCACTTTTCACTTTTATGAGCTGGCCGACTTTCATCCCGGTAGCGAGCACTAGCTGTCTTGGTGTCATCCTCAAGTAGTTATCATTGCTCAAGTGGACATCTTTCTTGCGCTAGAATTATTTTTGTTTGGACAAGTGGTGGGGTGAAGTGGGGTTTTTTCTACACTGTCAAGCTAGGGCACCGCTGGCTAACTCGTAAGCGAGCATACCCTGAACACCCTGCGACCCAAGCGAGAATGTCAACAAACACCGGCCCGGACCACCACTCAATCGAGCCTAACTTAAAATGTAAGCAAGCTAATACAGTAATAATTTGAAAGTTGAAGCAGTTAAATATTAGCGATATTCTTTGCTTCTATTTCTGTTCCTTTCAGTGCCCTCATTTTTCAACAGGGAACACCATTGAGTCTTTTGTGGTCCTTGGGTCCTAGGTCTTGTCTCTTCTGTTGGTGTTATCATTCCTCCAGAAGAACCCTGTAATTATCCCGACGAAAGCTGAATTTCAATACCATGTATGATAGTAAAAAGGACTCCAGGATGTTTCCTTGTTGGAACAATAAGCACACATCATCATGTTCTACCTAATAGATCTCATTCCCCCGCCTTCCTCCGTCAATTCCTTACCCTCAGATATAGTATATCTCTAGAATTGATCTTGTTTTGATCTCTTGAAGTCTAGAACTCCCTTCGTACCTTACTCTGTGCTACCTTTCTTGTTTTGTAGTTATTGGGTTTCATTCCCTCCACAGTATCATAAATTTTCTGTCAAATTTGAGACAATCTTTGACCTGCAAGTTGATAGCAGCTTCAAAAGGTGATAATACTCCCACATATTCACCGGTAGCGAATTGGGAAATCACACTCCTCCACATCACGCTAGCTACGAAGCTAGCGCTTTGAGAACCTAATAAACCTTCGACTTCTAGCGACTTCTTTCCCCTTCAACAACACCATCCACCTCAACCTCAGGTCGACAAGTCCCCCACAACCTCTCAGCTTCAGCTTCAACTTCGGAACCAGAATCAACGCCAACATGCCGCCTCCACCAGCAAAGAAACAGAAGACCTCTTCTGGCGGTACGTATATTCTTCACTGCCCCGAGATGTCTCTCTCTCCATGGTACCAGCTAACGTTCCTCAGGCTCACCTATCATCTTCACCACCGCCAGACACAAGCCCGATATCCGTATGTTCGTCTTCGACCAAGAGTTCCATGTCTATTCGGGCATGCTCAAAATGAATTCAGCCTTCTTTGAGACAATGCTAGAGCCATCAGGAGGCATCCAGCCAACCTCAACCTCACTCTCTTTAAGAGTGATTGGTACACTACGTTAGACAAGGATCTTGGCTGGGTTCTCTCTTCCGATCTCAAGCGCAAACACGAGGACTTGTCTACCTTCCAAGGATCGGTCTCCCGAGAGCAACAAGCATTCGCAAACCTCCTTTCCGCCATCTTCAGCAAAGAATACCATCTTGCTGATGCGAACGAGCTCGAGTCCATGACAAAACTAGCTGACTACTACCGTGCTCTTCCCATCGTATCTTACTCTCTCTCTGGTACCATCTACAACAGCCCTGGTTTTATCAATTCCATCGCCTCTGATCCATGCACTCTTCTTGTCTCTGCCTACAAGCTTAGACACAAGCTGTTATTCCGAGAACCCTTTATTATTGCACTTGGTCCATGGACAAAACCCTCATACAGAAAGCTGAAGAGTTCCTACCCCGAATTGTTCAATCTGGCTGATACCGTATACCAAATGGTTGATTCCAAAATCTCGATGGTCACCAGAGAACTGTTTGGGATTGCCGCCAGCGGATTCCATTACTCGAGGAAGGAGGGGAAATTGAGCCTACAGCTTGTACAAAACGTTGCCGCTGAGTCTTACCACTGCGTTGAGATGAAGGGAAATATGCCTTGGCCAATGTTCGTCCGGAACAGCAAGAAATCTGTAGACGGCTTTAATGGAGGTGGTTTTTATCATAATCTGTCCATACAAAAGGTGCTCGGCGAACTTCTTCAAAACGAATCTGTCTCAACAAGAATGCGACAGCTGGAGCAAGCGATTTTGAGGATCGGTTCCTGTGCTTCTCAATCCCCGATGAGGTGCTTCCTTGGGACACTACTCAAATTGACTACTGAAACTGGTATGTTTTCTGCGCAAAATAGGGTGTAACTTTGTATTTTGGATTCTAGCGCGCCATAATGTAGACATTTCCAATCGGTTCCTTGATGTGCTGGACATATCAAGCGTGCGAACCTTCCCGCTGATTTCAAGTCTGTCAGCTCATCGCCTAGGCACACATCACGACACTCCCGGAAACAAGTCATTGTCGCTTCCTCCTATCTCCTCATCGAGTCCAGCAAAATTACCCGAGACAACACGAGGTTACACTCTTCTTTTTCCAGAGCTCGTTTCTAGGGCTGCATTGCTTCACCAACACGGGCACTGGTGTCTGGGCTGAGGTTGACATTGTTCAATGGAGCGGTGAGATGGTGGTTTGCATACTCTTGAACGGTCTCAAGAATAAGCTTTTTACATTCCGAGACTTGTGAACTACAGCGGTTATATCGTTCTGCTGAATTGTGGCAAGTTGCAGCATATGTCGATGCGTCAATGGTTCTTCCATCCTTCACCTCAAGGCGTTCATAGCATGAGTTCTTACTAATTTGATACTGTAAGCATTTAAATTTCTGAAGCTAGTGAAACTCCTGACTAGAAATTTTCATGACCGTGAAGCCTATTTTCTTACTCTAAGACACTTTACTGGCCATCGTTGTTTAGTTTATCAGACCATTTTACGGTTTGTATCGATCTTTCTCTACTCTAAATCCTTAGTTTAGTTTGACGTGATGCCAGGGAATATCTATTTGAGAATAGTCTTCACTTCAAGCCTTAAACACATCATGGATGGAGGGTGCCAAAATTTGATCTCCGTTCCTGAGATATGGTATAGATTCTCTACAATCTGTCTCTCCAGTCGAAGTGAAAGCCCATGACTTAGAAAATCTCGAGAAATTCCCAGCGCTAACCAATGGGTCAGTAGCGTCATTTAAAAAGGCCCAGGGGCCCAGACATGTTACTCACAATGTTGAAATATTTTATGTTCTTACCCAACCGAGATTTTCATGGCCATGGGACCCTCCTTTAACCTGTACTAATGCTGCCAACCTGAGGATCGAAAAGCGCTAAGCTGAAGACTGAGAAGTTCATCCGAATCGACTTTAAGAAATATATCAAGACACTGATTAGAATCGTCTTTTATGCAACTAAGGCGTAATCGACTTCTGCCCTCTAATAGTAGTGATACTGACTGCTGCGTGGCTCTTGTAGCAAGCACATCCTGACCAAGAACAGATCATATGAAGGAAATTTGGAACTAGATATACGACGATAGGATACACGGGCATATAAGAGCTATGGAACACTTCACATCAGACATGGCGCAAAGAGTAATGTCAAAATGATGAGAAGGTTGTCAGCGCCGGGGACTTGGAGGGCAAGACGGGGGCCACTGTCCACAACGACAGTGCCAACGTCAACAGCCCGAATGTGCCCCAGAACTCCAAGGAATGGGTTGAAAATGGCTTCGTTGTGTGGTTCTACATTAGCCTCTCTCTTTGTCGCTTCTTTTGACTGTTTACTTTGTTTTCTCGTGATCCTGCCACGCTGCTCCTGATAAACTTTACGTCCCTTGCCTTGATTCTCACCGAGTATGACGTTGAGCTTCACACTTCATTTTGCTCTTATTTTTTGATCTCCGAGTTTGACCGCTTGTGTCTGGGGTGTCTGATACCGGAATATATGAGTTCTCTCCAGCCACGTGTATTCCGCAGTTTTGAAGTCCGCTCAAAAGTGAGTTTCTCGGGACTATTAGTCCCAACTATTTCCTCCAACAAGCCCACCGTTGCAAAATCAACCAGACAGGCTGCGACAAACGCGTCACTCAAGTTAGCATAGCCAGTTGCCAAGAGAACAATACTAGACAACTTCCTATCCCCGATCATCTTCGAAAGCCCCTACTTTCCAAAGAAGCCCGATGTACGCCTCACCATCTTCAATCAGCAGATGCATGTCCATTCCGAGATTTTGAAGATGAAGTCACAGTTCTTCAACGCATTCCTAGGTTCCCCTGGTACCGTGGACCAAACATCATGCGCTGGATTCAAGTACGAATGGGTCGCGAAAATCGATGCTCCGTTTGGAGAGCCCAACGACTGGGGATTAAGATGGCTTCTTACGTCTCTAAAGAAAGATAAGGAAATAGATTTTCCAGCTCATTTCATTTGAAGAGCTCCTGGCTAGTCTCATAGCACATCAACTGGCAACATACAGTCCCCCAATGTATGGACGCCTGGCTAGTGAAGGGGTGGCCAGAAAGGGAGAAAGATTTATTTCAGAAAGAAGCTCCTCCGAATCTTCTATTACGATCCCTAAAAAGTGATTGATTGGGGGGAATTGAAAACGATGACAGAGATCGCGGACTACCTTCTAGCTCTGTCATCTCTATCCAAAGGCCTTCACATGGACAACATCGCATCTCTGAGTCTCGCAAGAGCATGCCAAGAGTCACCCGAAAGCGTTCTACCAGTTGCAGTCAAGCTGAGAAACAAGGTGTTATTCAAGGAATACATCATGTGTGTCATAAATCCATGGAGTTTGGATGGGGAACGAATTGGCATGCTCGAGGACGAAAATATCAGAGCAATTGCGCAGAAGGCCTACGATACCATCGAGAAAAGGGCCAACAGGGTGCTTCGCAAGATTATAGATTGTGTCGGTGCCCACGGTAGCCCTGGAGAGGAGCATGATGAACAATTGGAAACACTATCATCAAT